AGCCAAAAGAAATTTTAAAGAGTGTAACTTATAAAGGGAAAACGATTACTAAACCAGGTGATATTGCAGAAGCTTTTAATTATACATTTATGAATCCTGTACAGAACTGCAAACCAATAAATTACAGAAATAACATTGAACGTATATCAAATTCATTGTTTATGAATCCAACAACGCCCGATCATATAGTTAAAATAATTAATAGCTTAAAAAATAAAACAAGTGTTGGTCACGATGAAATAACTACTAGAGTAATAAAATTTTGTAATTTTCAGTTTGCTCGGCCGCTTTGTCACATTATCAACTTAACTATAAATAATGGGATTTACCCTGATAAGCTAAAAATATCAGTAATTAAACCTATTTTCAAGAAAGGGGATAAAGAAGATTGTAGAAATTATCGCCCAATTGCTCTGCTTTCTGTCATTTCCAAAATTTTTGAGAAAATCATATATACAAGCATATATAATTATTGCGAACGATTCAATTCATTAGCAGATGAGCAATACGGATTTAGAAAGGATAGATCTACGAATCTAGCCATATATCACATGATAAAAGTTGTATCGGAATGCCTCGACGATCGCGTTCCAGTAACTGCTATTTTTATGGATATGTCAAAAGCTTTTGATTACGTAAATCATGAAAAGCTTCTGCAAAAGTTATATATGTATGGTATCAGAGGACCTATATTTGGTCTTGTATCGTCATATTTAAATAACCGATTTCAATGCACAGAAATCTCTTATGTTAATGAGGAAAATCGATCTGAAGTGCAGGTACGATCTCAGTCGCAGCTTGTAAAGTGTGGTGTACCCCAAGGAAGTATACTTGGGCCGCTTCTTTTTCTATTGTACATCAATGACCTACCTAGACATGTGCAGCATGAAATGATCCTTTTCGCAGATGATTCTACTGTTATGATAAAAAATAACAGCAATAAACCATACGAATGTGTTATTGCTGAAGCTTTGTCTGATATTATCAATTGGATGAAAGCTAATGATCTCGTCATAAACCTAGATAAGACAAAATATATGCAGTTTTATCTTTCCCAAAACCGGAAACAAGAGACTGTTGTTGTTAAGTATGAGGGGCATTTGATTGAGCGAGTAAAACAAATACGTTTCCTTGGTGTGTTGGTTGATGAATGTGTAAGCTGGAAACCGCATACCGAATATCTTACAAGTAAAATTAGTAAATTTGTTTATCCTCTAAGAAAATTAACACAAACTGTCTCACAAAAAGCTGCACTTACTGCTTATCATGGATACGTTGCCACCAACTTAAGATATGGTATCATACATTGGGGAGGCGCGGCTGATGTTAACCTGTTGCCATTGTTTAGTATGCTAAAAAAGGGTCTCAGAGCAATGTTTGGTGCCAAACAAACAGACAGTTGCAGACCTCTGTTTGTAAAATTAAGAATCCTAAATCTGCCCTCATTATACATATACCAAGCCTGCTTATTCGTCAAAAGTAATTTACATTATTTTAACTCGCACATTGCTAAGCACCCGAGGCAAAAGAATAATGTTACTATTATACAGTTTCACACATCTAGGACAGCCTTTTCTCAAAAAGTTTTTATGCATTAGGACCAAAAATATATAATCATTTACCTGACAAATTAAAAGATTTAGAAATAAAAAAATTTAAGCATAAATTATTAGAATTATTGACTGAAAGATGTTTTTACTCCTTAAAAGATTATTTGAGCTACAAACTTACATTCTAAATTAATTGACATTTGAAATATTTTCTGAATTATGTTTTAAGCAAAGAATATTAAAATCACTACGTTTTATTTATAAGCTTACATGTATTTTGACATATCAATATTCCAATCATAGACTTAGCTTATACTGGCATAATTCTATTGTACTTTTGACATTATTATTTATTATCCACGTTTGTTGATATATTTCATTGTATGACATTATGCTTTATTATCCGTGTTATTTGATTTGATTTAATGAATAATGAGATAATGTTTTAAGTACCATGATTTTAATAATATTGTACGCCTAATCTAGGCAGGTTGTGGTGATACTTAATTACTTTTATAGTGATAAATCTTTTAAACCTACAACTATCACAATAAATGACTTATTCTATTCTATTCTATTTACATATGTATACCGCTGGTGCCCACAACAGTCTTCTAGACAGAAGGTATGGGTATCATCCAAGCGGCCAAAGCAATAGATGCCAACAAGGTAAAAGACTTCTCCATCAGAATACTGAGTGAAAGTATGGTTGTATTAAAAGTTCTGACTTATGTACATCACCAGTACCCACAACACAGTTTTTCAGGCAGAAGGTATAGGTATCATCTAAGCGGCCATAGCAATAGATGCCAGGAAGGTAAGAGGTTTCTCCATCAGAATACTGACTGAAAGTATGGTGGTACTAAAAGTTCTGACTTTTAATACCACCATACATTTAGTCAGGCCCTTTTTACTGGAAATGAGGCATTCCATCTTAGTCCTCACGGGTGACAACGCATCTGCATTTTGATTTGTAATAGAGGATAGATGTAGATGTCTATGGGCCGCAGCAACCACTTACCATCAGGTGGTCTGTGTGCTCGTTTGTCACCCTTATCCTATAAAAAAAAACTACATTGCTGGTACCCACAACACAGTCTTTCAGGCAGAAGGTATGGATATCATCCGAGCGGCCATAGGAATAGATGCCAGGAAGTTAAAAGACTTCTCCATCAGAATATTGACCGAAAATATGGTGGTACTAAAAGTTCTGACTTGTAATGTGGTGAACTGGGGACTAATATATGAATGCTATTAACAACCAAATGAGGTATGTAAACACAACAATGTCACTCTGCAATAGATCAAGGGACACAGTGGATCCAGGGGCAACGATGCAGCAGAGGAACTGGCCAGGAGAGGATAGGCTCTGGCTACTATAGAGCCTGAACCAATCATTTTTGGTAACATTTGTTCAATGGTACATAGAAACCTCACTAATCAACAAGCTCAGCTTTGGAAAATCGAATAGACTGTGGACAAGTTAAGGAGGCCTTACCAGAAATAAACAGTTGCTTAACCAGTTTTAATGAGATTGAACAAGCCACAGATCAGGATAGTAACAAGTGCTATCACAGGACATGGTTCTATTAATTGTTCAATTGTATTGTATTGTATCAATTGTTCATGGTTCCTCTTAGTTCACTGCAGGTAACCAAGCCACGGCTATTAATCCCATCGCCACAACAAGGCAGGAACGCGTCCTTGGGGATTCCTATGTTCAACAGTGAACTTGTGAAAGGCTGTAATGATGATGACTATGATGATTAACAATTAAGTTAGTTGCTATTTCACTCTTTCTGTTTTTAATACGAGCACGGTCTTAACCTAGTCAAGCCGAGTTGTTTATTAGACATAATAAAGCTGCAGCATTGCTCTACTTTGATAACCCACATTTATTTATACTGCTATCCAAGGACTTTAACTCTAGTCCAGTTTTGCGCTCATTACTAAATTTATTCTTGAATATACTACTAACATTTATATATGAAACAAGGATATTAGTCCTTGTGTCCTTGTTCAATCCATTAATGCTTAAGTTGTCTGAGCTGGTTACAGAAGCAATTAATTAATAGAGGGCTTTGAAGGTTATTTTAATTGAAGAATAATGTACACATTGTCTTTAATAACATAAACATTAAAAGATGAAGGAATTTTTTTTTTTTTTAGAATCTGAACCTATGTTATGGTTCTTAATTTACCTTAAAATGCTTTAATCTACCAACAGAAGTATCCTTAATGCAATCTATGTTTTGTTGAATTTGAGTTGAAGTTCTAAATAGCCTAACTTTTATTTTACTTGCTTGAAAGATAAAAAAAAATGTGTAGGACTTATGTTCAGATTAAGAATCCAACTAGGTAGGTAGTACCTACTAGGTACTACCCCCTAAATTATTTCAGTCACTAAGCAACAGTGATCAGTGAGTAGGGAAGGTCTAGAGAAGGTATTGAGAGCCAGTACAATTATAGACTGTGTGACATGTGTCCATGGGCTGCAGTAGTCATCAGGTGAACTGCAAGCTATATCAAAGCTCACATCAACTTAAATTAAAACTAGATACCTGCAACTTCGTCCACGTTGCTTACACACATCACTGAACACGTAGTGCTTATAGAAATCGTTACTTCTTAAAACTTTAATAACTTTATACTAAATGAAGATATTGCAATATTTTTTTTTTGGATAAGGGCCAAGTGTATAAGAAATAAAACTTAGAAAACCTAATTGAAATCTATCCAGTAGTTTTTCCATGATGCACGTACAAATACAATGCTCTATAATTTTATTTATATAGAAAATATAGGATATTACTTGATCATGCTAAAGGCTCTAGCATGATCAAGCAGGAAATAAATGCATCATGTTATTCTTATTTTGCTTCTCTTTTAGCAGCCTTTCTTAATCCATCATTGGATATAGGGCCTTTTTAATAATGCATAAATTAATAGATTTTCTAAGTCTCATCACACTGGACAGGCAGGTAGATGCTCTTCGGGGACTAGTAAATAAGAATTGGAGAATAATATTAAATTTGTGATCTGTTACTGGAACTCATAGTAATGTTAAAAAAAAAAGGGCAAATGCAAGTCGGACTTGCGCATGAAGGGTTTCTAGCAGAGGGAACCACCTTAATTTTTTAATTTATTTTTATCATCTATTATTATAGCAGCAACAGAAATACACATTCTGTGAAAATTTCAACTGTCTACCCTATTACGAATCATAAGATACAGCCTGCTGACAGACAGACGGATGGACAGCAGCGGCTTAGTATAAGGGTCCCTTAGGGTAAGGAACCTTAAAAATAGAGATTGATTGATCATAATGCAATACATTCTAACTTTTCAGCTTGCCTTCATGTTTATTTACAACTACGAAGAATAACACAGAGGGAATCTAATATAACACTTAAAAATTTAAAACAATATTTAGCTTAAACTTTATATTACCATCTTCACTGCCCAGTAGATACACTTTCCTTTTAAAATACTCCTCATAGGACTCATGAGTTTCAGTGTAATTTACGATGTGTTTATCCTGTCTTCGAGTGTGGTTTGTGGTCCAGTGCACTTTACAAAAACATTTTACTTTAACATATAAACCTGAAAAACTATAGAAGTAAATTATTTAATCCTGAGTTACAAAATCAAATTTACTTAATGAATAAGTTATTAACGCCTTTTTATCATACATTTGCTTTGAAATAATAAAAAAAAATTAAATTGTTTTTCTTTTAATAAACATTACCTCCACACTAGGATTTTCTCCTGTATCATGGGGGCAGTTTACATACATCAATTTCACATACACATATCCAGACCCGGAACAATTATTTGTAGGCCATACAATTACTTGTTCCGTGCGGGATTCGAACCTGTGGCCCATGGTGCTACAACTTATTGCTAAGCCCCTGCGCCACGGAGCCGTCTATTAAAATTTATGTAAGAGGTACCTACAAAAAAAATTGTCTTACCTGTAAAAGTTTTAACCTTGTTTTGTTGGAATACAAATTTTCCGTAAATAGTTTGTCCGGCATAATAAGTTCCATTTTCACTATTTAAAATTATGCTGCCTTCTTCAAATCCCATTATACAATTGTACGCGTGCGCGTTAGTGTTTCTAAATTTCTAACACAGACTAACTAGTAGATCTAGATCAATCTAGATTCTACCGAATCAGACGGACATCCATTCTATAATCTATATAGTTTGTGCGGACATCTCACATTGATTTCTAATTTTCTAACACAGACTAGGTAATATGATGCTTTCTAATTTCGGCTAAGCTTTTCATTGACTCCCGTCGAGTTGGGGGTTGATACGTATTTTTACAGAAAAGTTACACTATTATAAGCACACACCCAAAGTTAGACCATGCGGAAACGCGTAATTTTTGAGAAAAAAGTTGTTGAAAGTCAATTATTCTTGCATTGTTTATATCTAATCCTACCATAAAACCAGTGTTGCCAAGTCTGAAATCTAGCGGACGGTAGAATTCTTCTAAAAATACGGTAGAATTTTCGAAATTATGTTGTAATATATATTTGAAATACGGTAGAATTACCTTGTTTATTTAGTAGCATGTTATGGGTCAGAGTTAAAAAAAAACATATTTTTAATCAGAATCGGACAGTATAATTGTTTCAATATTTTTATACATATCATTGTTATGTTTTGCGATCATAGCGTGAGTGGGATTAAAATCAACACAGTTTTTTCCGTGACGCTGTATGGCTTGCTGCGATAAGAGATTTCCCTTGATGGATTTCGTTAGGAGTTTATTCCGTTTTTTTGTTTTTATATCGTTAACTCTGCTGAAGACTCTTTCGCACTCAGCATTCGAGTGTGGCAGAGACAAAATGGCCAACATAAATTTTGGCAAGTTTTGGAAATAGGTATTCCCTTCTCGATGTTGGTCACGCAGTTCTGCGACCTGAAAAAAAAATGATTAGGCTGCTATAACAATAGAAACCAATATGAATTCACGTTGCTTCGAGTTTACATGGAAACTTACCTGGTGCCAAAATACGTCAGGGGGTTGACTTAAATCCAAATCTTTGTAGTATAACGGCAACTTCCGCCACTCATCATCTAGTTCTTGTTGATGTTGGATTGAAGTTGGGGCAATTCTGGGCAGTAATGGAAATAACGACGAAACTGACTCTTCCCTGTCATCAGAAATTACTTTCTCTAGATCAAATTTTGCTATTTCTGTCATAATTTTGTCATTAAAACAGTATCGTTTACGAAGGCCCACACAAGCTCTAATAATAAAATTTTTACACATCTTTCTGAGAGTTAACTTTCTTTCTTCATTTTCAACAGAATCTAGTTCTTTCTGGACACCTAAACCTAGATATATGTCTTTTAGGTCCTTGTGATTTATTTCTGTCATTGGATCTATAGTTTCAATAGGAGCGGAATTTACATAATTTCTGTGTAAAACCAATAGTAACAGTTCTTTATAAAAAGCTGTCATTTTCCCATGTAGTTTCGTAATTAAAATAGATTCGCTCTGAAAACAGCTATTTAATGTTGTAAATTTTGGCAACATCCAAGCCAAAAAATAGTAATAAGCCTTGATTATGGGATCATTCAGGCATGCATGAATATCGTGGCACTCCGATTCTTCCAGCCATTTGCTATTGAAATAAAGACGTAATACATCCCATTGTTCCAGAATCCTTTGCACTACTGCATTTAAAGACAACCATCTAGTCTGGGCTGGTCTTAGAATTTTGTGCACATCCGCCTCAGCAAAATACTGGAACTCTTTCAACTCACTCTGCCTTTTACTACTGGATTTAAAATAATTATAAATATTTCGCGCCATTTTTTCACAATTTAGTGGAAGCTCTTTACATGCGTCACTAGCGCAAAGATGCAGAGAATGGCAAATGCATTTGATCACAATTATGCCTGGACAACGTTGACGAAATCGACTTGAAACTGAATTGTTACATCCCATCATTGTGTTGCATCCATCAGAGCCGAAACCTATGATGTTTTCCGTAGGAATCTCATACTTTTGAAATGAACCTATAACAGTATTAAAAAGTTTTTCGGCATTTGCAACATGATCGGTGGTTTTCTCATCAAATAATTGAATCAAATTCCAAAACCGAGTGATAACTTTACCAATCATTGGATCAAAATACCTGACCACTACAGCTACTGTTTTTACTACAGCAATATCTGTGCTTTCGTCTATCAAAATTGAAAACATTTGTGATTTCAAGTCACTGATCAAGTTTTCTTTTTCAGTTTCCCCAATACAGTTATTTATCACAGCTTGAACTTTAGTTCTTTTTAATCTAATATCTTTGGCTATCTGAGAATCTGGGAACAACTTTGGTAACAAATCTGCTAAGTGATTCATGACATTATGAGATACCTTATGCTCAGCAACAAAAGCAGCTAATTTTATTTCTGAAGTCTTTACCAATTGCTTTTCATTAGTTGGCATGGATTTAAAAACGCTTACTATAGACTGTTGTTTTTTGGACGTTGAAGCACTACACCTCTTTAAATTATTCACGTGTTTAGTTCCTTCTTTGTGGCGTTTTATTACACTTATTTCGGCACTGAAAGATGTATTGCAAACATTGCAGACCGCCGTCGATAAGTCCCTATTATCCTTTCTTAGCCAGTCACTATATTCTTTATTCAGCAACCATTCTTCCCGAAACTTCTGCTTATAACGCTTTCTCTTAGCCGGTACTCGTGTTAAGCTATCTTCTCGATCAGTAGCGCTGTCACCATCACTCTCCATATTTTTAAACACTCAGATCACACACAACACAACACAACACAACAAACTCTTACGTAATTTTAAGTATTAATGAAATGTTAGTCGTATCTCGTTTATGATACAAATAAACTAGGAAAATTAAAAAGCTCTAAGTATTCATTGAAATTCAAATACATACAGCACCCCCGAATTCGTTCGCATAATATCTCCAAGCTGGTACCACGCTATTGGGGGATTTCCCGACGCATAAAACAGTGTTGTCGGTAGAATAAAAGGAAAATACTGTAACGTAAAGAAAGTAAACAATCAAACTCGCTAAAATTATTTTAGTTTATAGATAATCATATTTAGATACGATCTTCATTGGGTATTACGGTGTATTTTGCTACCGTAATTATAATCCTACGGTAGGTGGTAGATCTATGCTGATTACGGTGTTTTTACCGTAATTACGGTGCAGTTGGCAACACTGCATAAAACTGACGCCATTTTGTAATGTCACTGTCGTCAGTAGGGATGTCGATTCTTTCCGAAAAAGGTCGATTTTTAAACAGATTCAAATTGTAAGCTGATGTATCGATTCATAAAAAATCGATTTCTAAAATATCTATATTTTTTATGTTTGCATTTATAATGTAAATATAATTCCATTTCATGAAAAACAAGAAAGATACCATAATAAATGATCTCTTATTGAATTTTTTTTATTTTAACAGTACCAATTAGGGCAGATAACAAATAAAATAGGTTAGGTTCAACTTATGTCAAAGAACCGAATTTATTGACCCCGACTCCACCTGGTACGAGTCTGTCCTACCCCTAGAGTGGTTTTAAAGAGCCGGAGGCGCGTAGGGGGAGCAGCCTCCGTCTGCTCCCCCTCCTCGCCTCCGCAGCTTCGGCTTGTTGGTCGCCTTCGGCGACCAGCCTCAGCCGCTCCGGTTCGTCCGATGCCTGCGATTTGTTACGCTAAGGCGTAGAGGCTGCTCTTCCCGCAGCGCCGGAGACGTAGCAGTCTCAAAATAGGTACAGAAATCCTTCTGAATCAGTCCCCCTATATTTTATGATGAAGGGGATTTTTTTCTCATAAAATGGATTTATATTTACATTATAAATGCAAACATGAAAAAAATATAGATATTTTAGAAATCGATTTTTTGGGAATCGATATATCAGCTTACAATTCGAATCTATTTAAAAAATTGATATTTTTCGGAAAGAATCGACATCCCTACGGACAATGACAATAAAAAAATTGCGTCAGTTTTATTGTAGGATTAGACATAAAGAATGTAAGAATAATTGATTTTCAATAACTTTTTTCTCAAAAATTACGCGCTTCCGCATATTGTAACTTTGTGTGTGTGCTTATAATAGTGTAACTTTTCTGTAAAAATACGCATCAACCCCCAACTCGATGGGAGTGAATGGAAAGCCCATTTAACACCACGAGGAATCAATCAATGGAGTCAATGGAAAGTCGTACCGTTAAATGTATAGGATTAGGTTGGTTAGCATTCTGCCAGTGTTATAATGAGTACATTTCAAATGTTCATGTAACTCAGCTTGACATGGAGGCAAATTCGATGCATCGTAGTTTTGAAGAGATTTTTTAAACGGTTCATGAGTACTCTTGGAATTAGACGTCGAACAAACTTTTTGGAAGCTTGCTGCTTTAGTGTCCGACAATGTTTTGAATCCATATAAATCACAAACGAAAGTTTCAAGTGTCGCTAAAGTTTCATATCGCATTCCTATCCCAAGATCTGTTAGCGCTTTCTGGTAACCTGCATTTTTCTTTATTTAAAAAAAGATGGATTGTAATCACAACCCGTAATAGCATTGAACCTCATATCATGGAATCGATATTTGATACTGTGCCTGATGTAGATTAGAATTCATTGTTAATGCTAGATAATTCTTCTCTGTACCGCTTTGATAATGCAGTGAAATTAGAGTAGAATCGACTGTGGTAGCCTTCTGTATGGGACACGTTTGATGGTAAAATAATGTTTTTATATTTTTTCTGTAAAAATACGTATCAAACCCCAACTCGATGGGAGTCAATGGAAAGTCGTACCGTAATTTCTATATAGCCGGGGGGGTACAGTTCCATAGTAATGCATTTGGTCATAGAAAGTAACGCCATCAAGTGTATGATACGCGTCATAATTTCCTCAGTTTAGTTAGTTTAATACTCACTAGATGGCTTTAATATCTTTGTCACCTGTCCATTAAAATTAGTTTTACTGATCTTATAAATTATAAACTATATATTTTGTAATATGTATGCATGACAAATAAAAGTTGTTTAATCCATGATTTATAAAGTACATATAAATTATACGTTCCGATTATATTTATGTTCGATTGAAATGATTAGTCTGTACTACAATCTCTGTAGTAGCCGAAAATATAAATGTATCTGTATCTGCTGTTGCGAAAAAAATAACCTAAATTATTACATATTTTTATGAAATTAAAAAAGAAAAAGTTTCAAAGTTAATTTTTCATCAATTAGATATTATTTTAAACGGGAATGTTTCAAACCATTTTCAAAGTGAATCGAGTTCGTTTTGTTTAACTTTTCTAAGCCAAATTCAAAAGTTTGATGTCGATTTAGGTAGTTAATTTCGTATTTCGTAGAACAATTAAGTGTGGTGTTACTAGCCAGTGAATATTTAGTTTATGGTGATTTATTAGAGTCGTTTTAC